GTTGGAAGGATTTGATGGCATTGGTTATTTCCAGTGTAGTGATGGGGGAAGCCAAATTGGCAAATTCCTGATTATTGATGGTATTGTAAGTGGCCGTGTAAGTAGGACACGTGTGGTGGGTGTGGATAGTAGTAAATAAGTTGTGATAATAATTTTTAGTTGAGAGATTTATTTCTTGTAGGTCCAAGATCCAATTACCCGCTGAGTATCTTTGTAAAGTAGTAAGGTGAAAAAAATTTGTGTTGGCATCCCCACCTTGAAGCCAATTTATGCGGGATTTGAATTTCCAAAAGTGTTCTTCCAATTTGAGGATATCGTTATATTGGCCAATTAGATCAATTTCAAGATTTTGTAGAAACTGACTAGTAGTGTACTTTGGAGAGGTCTAGATGCCTTGAATTTGTGCTAGTAGTAGTTTTTTATTTTTAAAAATATTTCCAAAAGTTGTTCGATTCTATTCCAAGATGTCTTTTCGCATTGAGTGTATACTTGTTAGGAGTCCAATTGTTTGTTATTAATGTAAGAAATTGAGGATGAGTAGTCCACATTGTTTCAAAACAGAATATTTTTTCATTAGGAGCTTTATAATGTTTATGAAGATTTAGGAGTAATGGGCTATGGTCGGAGTGGGTTCGTGGTAAATGTTGTACGGAGGCTTCCGAAAATATGTTTAACCACTCTTAATTTGCTACGCATCTACCCAACCTTTCTAAGATACAATGTGTAAGGTGTCTGTTGTTAGACCACGTAAATATACTACCTCTGTAAGCTAGATTAACTAGGTTACACTAATTAAGGCATCGTAAAAAATTGTCATTTCTCTTATTATTTATTTCTAAACCCCCAAATTTTTCAGAAGCTTTAGTAATATTATTAAAATCTCCTTCGACTATCCAAGGCATTTTTAAGTGATTATGCAAAGCTCTTAAATTGTCCCATAATATCGTGCGTGCAAAGGAATCATTTTTTGTGTAAATAACTTATTATAGCCAAGTTTTAGGTTTGGAGGCACCTGGACAATGGAGTGAATTTCTTGGCGTATAACTGCAACTTGGTCGAGTTTGAGCATACCATCTTTCCAAAGCAAGGCGATTCCCCTAGAGAGGCCTTCAACTGGTGATTGAGCCAAGTATGTGAATCAAAACTCTGTTTTGAGACGCTCATGATCGTGCATGTGGGTTTCTAGAAAATCTACCAAAGCCAAGTTATGGTAGTTGAACATTGATCGAAAGTTTCATCTGAATTCTAGCGATTGTGCTCCCCGGCAGTTCCATATGATGAATTGCATGGATCGATTATTGGGGTTGGGTGGTGGAGATGGTTGTTCCTCCCTCTCCAGTAGATGTGTCGTTGGAGTCAGTGCTGGGATCAACACTATAGAAAATTTCCCTGCCTCTGGATTGTGTGTGAGGCGTATGTTTAAGGACAAACATTGTAGTTCTGGTGGGCAAGCTATGATCACTTTTCTTTCTTACTGTTCTTTGAGGGTGTATGTTTTTTTCCCAATTTAGATAACACAGAATTGGTCGTGTTTCGCGTATCTCCGCCATTGTTTATGCTACTTCCAATTGGGCTATTTTGTCTTGTTCGTATGGAGGTGGACTGAATTGGTGGAGTGGAGTCGTGGGGGGAGTGAGCGGGTGATAAGGTGAGGCTTGTGCATGGAGAGGAATTGATGGTGCTATCAGTGATCTCTGTTGAATCCAAGGAACAAAAGTCTGGGGTGGTTGTTGTATGGGCTAAAATGGTAGGTCCAGGGTGTTCTGTGGTGTTGATGGTGGTGCTGCATGGATGGGATTCCTGGATGTTGAGGCGTTAGAGTTGGAGGTGTCATGTGTTGAGAGTGGGTGAAGGCTGATGGTGGGTGCATGGCCCAGAGATATTGGTTATATAGTTCCACCCCCATTCGCATTCCCTCCGTTACAATTTGTGCTATATCTGGTGGGTTCTAGATCATCACTATAACATCTTGGTTGTCTAATAACATGGTAAATGTCAATGCATGGTCTTGAAGACTCATCTCTAACCATGTTTGAGGGTACATTTGTGTGTGTGGGTATTGAGTGATGTAGATAGGGGTTGGTGGTGGAAGGTGATCTTGTGGTGGTTTCATGGTTATGGTGTTGAGGAATATCGGGTGTTGAATGAGGTTTGTGTTGGTGAAGGATAGCGTCCTTCGATACTGGAGGTTGTGGTGTGAACGATTCATTATTGTGTAAGCAACTTTGAGTATTTGAAGGGGTAATAGACGGGGAGGGGGTGTTATTTAATGATGGTCGGTTAGTAAGTAATGGTGTTTGAGAGGTTAACCCAAGCGGTTGATTTGATGTGGGTTTAGTAGGTGTAATTTCGTTGGGGATGTGGTCACGTGAAAGACTAGTGGTGGTAGCTTGGTTAGGGTATTGGGCTTCGCCGGTAATGATAGCATTGTCTAGGTGGGGAAGTGTAGATAGTGGGCTTTGAGTATGTAGGTTATTTTGTGTTTGGTGTAGTGCAGTGTGTGCCGTGGCATAGGTTTGTAATTGAGTAGCTATAGATAGGGGTGAGGTGGAGATGCATGGGCCTGCAGTGGTGAATGTGGCAACTGTGGAGTCCATGTGGTGACCGTTGGTTCCCTTCCTAATGGGTGTTGTTGATGAGTCAGCAAGGTGGTATACAAGTTTGATATTTGGGCTCAAAGGGTCGTTTGGGCTAGTTGGTTCACTTACATGGTGATCTATGCCACTTGGACCTGCAACGGTGCTTGTTTGGTCCATTATATTATCATCCATTAAAAAATTAAGTGTGTTTGTGTTGAAGATCTTTTTTTTGGGGGGAGGGGGGGGGGTAGAAAAGTCATTGGTACTGTTTTTTATGAATTTTTTATTTGGGCCAGGCCTTGGAAGAGACAAGTTAGGGCCCATACATGTGGATCCCACGCCGTCTACCGCCAATGGTACTGTGCGTACATTGTTGGTTGTAGTAGATTGTCCGCGCATCCGATGAGTCAAGGAGTCATTTGTTTTGTAGCTTGAATTCCTATAAGGCTTTTGTGGGAAGGTGACTGTTTGCCATTCGTCTGTTGTTGTAGTTGGTTGTTGATTTTTTTCTGGGGTAGTTGCATGTATTTGGTGCGTGGGTGAAAGGTCTTCCATCGAACTGGGCGGCAACGTTGGAGGTGTTGGAGTAGAGGGAGTAGGTATTGAGGAACAAAAAAGTTTAGTGTGGCCTAGTCTTCCACATATGGTGCATAACATGTTGAGCCCTTCGTATAGATTTGTTGTTTATGGATGGATACCTGTGTACACATGAGTTTTGAGTGGCTTTTCCAAAGGTAATTCGAAACTTATTCGTGCATATCGTCCCCGTGTAGTTGCCAAAGTGCATGTGTCAACTTTGAGGAGGAACCAATTTTTTCTCCTACTCCTTGAAGTATTTCAAAGTCATAGAACTGAGTAGGTAGTTCGGCATTCGTATCCATATAGTTGTGTAGGTGAGTTGAACGTTGGAGGCTAATAAAGTTTGGTTCCTACTTTCGAACTGAAAGAAAATGATTGAAAATGAACCAAGGTCCATCGTGTAAGGCTTAAAGCATGTTTTCTTCCTTTTGGAATTTAACTAAAAAGTACTCAAACCCCAATCTATTAATGGAAGGTCTTTTGTGGGCTTCCAAAGTGTTTGTAGTTTAGCACGTAGTGTTTAATGTCTCACTTTCCTTCGAAAACTTTTACTATGACGGAGAATTTTCATGGGGAGTAGAGGCGTGACTTATCGGTTGATGTAAGGGGGATGAAGGTGTCGTGGTTAAGTTTGTTTGTAGTTTCGTCTGTAAGATCAATATTTGTATGAGTTTGGTGGCATGTATTAGAAAACGGGGAAAACTGGCTATTTGATAGCAGTGTTTGTGCGAAAGTTAAAGGTGGGGAAGTTGTGGAAGTATGGTTTGGATTCTGAGGAGTGTCAATTTACATGGAGCTAAGATCTGGTGGTTCTGGTTGTGGGGTAGTGGTGGTGTCATTCATAGTGGTAGAGAGATAGATCCTTAGAGAACTATCAAATTCTAATTAAATTAAAATACCTGGTCTGTGGGTAAAATGTCTCTCTTGTAACCAAATAGCAACAATGTTTGTTCTTTTGTTCTTTCTTCCATAGTGGACGCAGACACCATGAGCAACATTTTTCTGATACCATTTTCCTCCGCACAGGTATATACGGTAACAGAAACACGAAATGATAACAACACATTTCCAATATCCTAATGGTGTTTGTCCTAATAGAGCAACTGCATCAGAATATTGGAAGGCCATTGGAATTGACAAACCGATTCTTTCTTCTATTACATCACAGTTCCTTGGGGCTAAGAAAGCCCTCATTTTCTATATAGGCCATACTCCAAAAGGAACCAAGACTGACCAGACGATGTACGCGCATAAACTTGTTAATTATGGCCTGAACTGATAATGGGTGCTTACCCAGATGAAGAAGAAGGAGGAGGAAGAAGCGGAGAAATAAAGAGAAGGAGAAGTCTGCATGTAATGAAAGAATTGTATATCACCACATTGTATACATCTGTATAAAAGCTAGAGATATATAGGAATAGTCCCATCTCTAATTAACTGACACTAACAGCTTAATGAGCCGTTAGGGGCTAACTAACTAACTATAGGAAATTACCCTAATGCCCTTTGTTTTAACTAACTATGTTACATCTTTCTCTACACTCCCCCCAAGCTAGGTACTGAAAATACATTTAAGAACACCTAGTTCGGAAGAAAGATATTCATGCTGAACTTTGTTGAGTCCCTTAGTCAAAATATCTGCAGGTTGTTCTTTAGTAGAGATGTATGTTGTTTTTACTGGACCTTGTATGATTTTTTCTCTAATGAAGTGACAATCGATCTCGATATGCTTCGTCCTTTCGTGATAAACAGAGTTTGCAGCAATTTGCATTGCAGCTTTGCTATCACTAAATATCTCCACAGGTAGTTTGGTATTAACCCCCACTTCTTTTAGAAATCCCACTAGCCAGATAAGTTCTGCCACAATCGCTGCAAGGCTTCTATACTCACTTCCGCTGAGCTTCTTGAAACTGTGGTTTGTTTTTTTGATCTCCATGATATTAAAATGTCTCCAAATTTGATTAGATAGCCTGAGACGGATTTCCTTGAGTGTGGGAAGGCAGCCCAATATGCATCATAATAAGCTGCAATTGTGTTGTTGCATGTACTGGAGAGTAGTATCCCTTGTCCACGACTGTTCTTGATATACTTCACAATTCTTAGAGCTGATTCAATGTGAGATTTCTTTGATTTTTGTAGAAATTGACTCGGTGTTTGTACACTGAATGAGATGTTTGGCCTTGTCATTGTTAAGTATAGAAGTTTACCTATCAGTTTTTGATAAGGAGTTAAATGTGACAGTTCTTCATCTAACAATGCAGTAGGCTTAGTTCTTCTGAGGTGTTCATCATATTCTGTTATTGTGAGTTTCATGTTGGCATCCAGTGGTGTAATTGCTGGTTTAGCTGCTGCAAGACCTGTTTCAGAGAAAAATTCCAAGGCATATTTCCTCTGATGCATGAGTATTCCTTATTTTTATCTAGAAAACTCTATGCCTAAGAAATATTTCAATTCTCCTAAGTCTTTCATTTTAAAGCTTGTTGTAAATTTGCTTCGATTTTGTCACGACCCAATTTCTCCCTCTGTGAGTTATTGTGATGGCACCTAGTCTCTACGACTAGGTAAGCCTAACACTATGCGGAAATGAAATAAAAGCATGAACATTAACTACTAACAACAACAAATATCTAATAAGCAACTGAATGTCACTCGGCATATACAATTATCACCTCTGAAATGTACCAAACAATTCACAAAACCCGAAATACCACAAGTCACAAGCTAATAAGAAGTCTTAACTGTTCTATACATAATTTCTACAGAAAAGAAGGAAAATTAAACATAGGTGGATAGAGGGGGACGTCGAGGATCTGCGGGCGCGCGCAGATGTACCTTGAAGTCTCGAATAAGTAGCAGCGGCTACAACTAGTGATTAGGCTGTTAAGACGAATCTGGATCTGCACACGAAATACATCTGCAGGAAAGGGCATGAGTACACCACAACGGTACCTAGTAAGTGCCAAGCCTAACCTCGGTTAGTGACGAGATCAGGTGAGGGCCCTACTAGTATAAATATAAAGAAATAAGACAGAATGAAATATCACAGTAAAAGTAAGTACGAAAATCTAACAAGAATAGAATCAATGAAAGACAACAACTCAGAACATAGTGATAACAACAGGGGATCTCCCAGGATACCGTCCCGTAGTCCCAAACGTAAATGTGCAGGGGGATCTCCCGGAATACCGTTCCGTAGTCCCAAAGTAAATATACAGTTCTGGGGGATCTCTCGAAATACCATTTCGTAGTCCCAAAGTAAATATGCAGTACAAGGGGATCTCCCGGAATACGTTCCGCAGTCCCAAAGTAAATATGCAGCTCAAACAATAGAATTACAACTACAACACGGAAATCCTATGGTTCAGACTAAGTACAAGTCAATGTGGAAGCATGAAAATCACTAAGCATGCTGCACAGAGTCCAGATAAGCAATTAAGACACACAGACATGTTGTTCTAAACTAAATAGGATAATTACATATGCTAGTGTAGCTCAGTTAAAGGAAAACAAATATTTTCCTTAATGAAAATGGAGTTTTTTTCAATAATTAGCCCGTGTACGCACTCGTCACCTCACGTACACAACGCTCACATATCAAACAGTACCAAATCCCAAGGGGAGTTTCCCACACATGCACTTATCTCGAACCAAGCTCAAATCAATCCTTCACAATGCTCTTTCCACGTATATCCGACTCTGAATGGCCCAAATCTAGCCAAAACCAATTACATAACATAAATATAGCTACAAGAAACTAATCTAGCTAACAAAATCAAAGCTAAGGAAAGAAATTAGAAAAACACCCAAAAAGCCTCCCCGGGCCTACGTCTCGGAATTGGGTTAAAGTCACGAAATATGAATACCCATTCACTCACGAGTCTAACCATACCAAATTTACTCAAATCCGATACCAAATTCTCGATCAAAACCCCAAAATTTGTAGTTCTCAATTTTTCCCAACTTTTCACCCCAAATCCGAAATTAAATGATGAAATCAAGCATAGATTAGTGGGATATAACCATAAAGGAGTTAGGATCATTATCCAATGACTTCCTTCGAAAATCTCTCGAAATTTCGCCTTCTACCGAGCTCTCAATTCAATTTTGTGATATAAACTCAAAACCCTCGTTTTTGAACTTCAAATTCTGCCCAGGTCTTCCCTTCTTTGCGAACGCGGTCAAAGCCTCACGTTCATTGAAAAAAAAGATGTTGAACAGAAATTCCTCCTTCACGAATGCGAGGGCCCTCTCACGAACACGAACCTTACACTGGCTGACCCTACGCGAACGCGGGATCCTCTTCGCGAATGCGTAGGCTTAATGCCTGAAGCCCCATCTGACCGTTGACTCTACGCGAACGTGAGGTCCTTATCGCGAACGCGTAGCCTTAACATCCCATACCTTCGCGAACGCGAAGAAAAAACCCAGTTGCCCTTCCCAGATGCCTTACGCGAACGCGAGAACCCTTCGCGAATGTGATGAAGAAAATCCCTGCCATAAAATACAAGAAAATCTACCAACTTCCAAAGTCCGAAAACGATCCGTTAAGCACCCGAAACTCACCAGAGGCACCCGGGACCTTAACCAAACATATCAGCAAGTCCTAAAACACCATACAAACTTAGTCGAGCCCTTAAATCACATCAAACAATGCTAAATTCATGAATCACCCTCCAATCCAAACTTAAAGAACTTGAAACTTCAAATTTCCACAACCGATGCCGAAACCTATCAAACCATATCCGATTAACCCCAAATTTTGCACACAAGTCATATTCAACACTACGGACCTACTCCAAATTCCGGAATTAGATTCCGACCCAGATATAAAAAATTCCACTACCGGCCAAAAACTCCAAAAATTCGACTTTTGCCATTTCAAGCCTAAATGAGCTACAGACCTCCAAAATACAATTCGGACACACCCCTAAGCCCAAAATCACCCAACTGAGCTAACGGAATTGATGGAACTCCATTACGGAGTCGTCTTCATACAGTTCCAACTACGGTCTGAATCTTAAGGCTTAAACCTCCATTTAGGGACTAAGTATCCCAAATACTTCCAAAAACCAAAATGAAACCTCCCCACAAGTCACAATAGCAAAAAAAGATACAGGGGAAGCAGTTCATAGGGGATCAGGGCTCTAAGAACGACCAGCCGGGTCGTTACATCTTCCCCCTCTTAAAACGACCGTTCGTCCTCGAACGAACATAGAGACATACCTGAAGTGGTGAAAAGATGAGGATAACGGTTGCGCATATCTTGCTCGGTCTCCCAAGTCGCCTCCTTGACTGGCTGACCCCGCCACTGAACCTTTACTGATGCAATGTTCTTTGACCTCAGTTTCCGAACCTTCCTGTCCAAAATAGCCACTCGCTCCTCAACATAGGGTAGATCCTTGTCCAACCGGACTGAGCTGAAATCCAACATATGAGATGGATCGTCGTGATACCTCTGGAGCATCGAAACATGAAATACCGTATGAACTCCTGCTAGGCTGGGAGGTAAGGCAAGCTCATAAGCAACCTCCCTAACTTGCCGCAACACCTCAAATGGGTCAATGAACCTGGGGCTCAACTTGCCCTTCTTTCCGAACCTCATGACACCCTTCATAGGCAAAACTCGAAGCAAGACCTGCTCTCCAACCATGAATGCAACATCGCGAACCTTCCGGTACGCATAACTCTTCTGTCTAGACTGCGCTGTGCGAAATCTATCCTGAATCACCTTAACCTTCTCCAAGGCATCTTGAACCAAGTTTGTACCCAATAACCTGGTCTCTCACGGCTCGAACCAACCCATTGGGGACCAAAACTTCCTACCATACAGAGTCTCATACGGCGCCATCTGAATGCTGGACTAATAACTATTGTTGTAGGCAAACTTCGCAAGTGGCAAGAACTGATCCCAAGATTCTCCAAACTTCATCACACACGCACGGAGCATATCCTCTAGAATCTGAGCGCTTGGACTGTTCGTCCATCTGAGGGTGAAATATTGTGCTCAACTCCACCCGAGTACCCAACTCATGTTGTACGACCCCCTAGAACCGTGATGTAAACTGCGTACCCCAGTCAGAGATGATAGATACTGGCACACCATGATGCCTAATATTCTCATGGATATAAACTCGAGCCAGTTGCTCGAAAGAATAGGTAAACATCACAGGAAGGAAATGAGCTGACTTGGTCAGCCTATCCACAATCACCTATACTGCATCAAACTTCCGTTGAGTCCGTGGGAGCCCAACAACGAAATCCATAGTGATCCACTCCTATTTCCACTCTGGAATCTCTAACTTCTGAAGCAATCCACCGGCCGTTAATGCTCATACTTCACTTGCTGGCAATTTAGACACCGAGTTACATATTCCACTATGTCCTTCTTCATCCTATGCCACCAATAATGCTGCCTCAAATCCTGATACATCTTTGTGGCACCTGGATGACTGGAGTACCGCGAGCTCTGAGCCTCCAGAAGGATCAACTCACGTAATCCGTCTACATTGAGCACATATAGCTTGCACTGCATCCTCAATGCACCATCATCCCCAATAGTGACCTCCTTAGCATCACCGTGCTGAACCGCATCCTTAAACACGAGCAGATGGGGGTCATCATACTGACGCTCCCTGATACGATCTTAAAGAGAAGATTGGGAGACCACACAAGCCAAAACTCGACTCGGCTCAGAAATATCCAATCTAACAAACTGGTTGGCTAAGGTCTGAACATCCAGTGCCAATGGTCTCTCTGCTGCTGACAAATATGCTAAGCTCCCTAAACTCCCCGCCCTACGACTTAAGGCATTGGCCACCATATTGACCTTCCCGGGGTGGTGCAAAATAGTGATATCATAATCCTTAAGCAGCTATAACCACCTTCGCTGATGCAAATTGAGATCCTTCTGCTTGAACAGATGCTGCAAACTCTGGTGATCAGTGTAGATCTCACAAGGGACACCATACAAATAGTGCCGCCAAATCTTGAAGGCATGAACAATAGCTTCTAACTCAAGGTCGTGGACAAGATTGTTCTTTTCATACACCTTCAGTTGTTTGGACGCGTAGGCAATCACCTTAAGGTCCTGCATCAACACCGCGCTGAGACCAATCCGCGACGCATCACAATAAATAGTATAAGACCCCGAACCTGTAGGCAATACCAATATTAGGGATGTAGTCAAAGCTGTCTTGAGATTTTGAAAGCTCTCCTCACATTGCTCTGTCCACCTGAATGGAGCACCTTTCTGGATCAGCCTAGTCATAGGTGCTGCAATAGATGAGAATCCTTCAACAAATCGACGGTAATAACTCACCAATCCAAGAAAACTCCTGATCTCTGTAGCTGAGGAAGGTCTGGGCCAACTTTGCACTGCTTCCACATTCTTTGGATCCACCTTGATCCCTTCACTCGACACTACGTGGCCAGAAAATGCCACGGAATCCAACCAGAACTCACATTTTGAGAACTTTGCATATAATTTCTTCTCTCTCAAGGTCTAAAGCACAATCCTCAGGTGATGCTCATGACCTCCTAACTTCGGGAGTACACCAGAATATCGTCAATAAACACAATGACGAACGTATCAAGATAGGGCCGAAATACACTGTGCATTAAATGCATAAATGTCGCTGGGGCGTTGGTCATCCCAAATGACATCACAAGGAACTCATAGTGACCATACCGAGTCCTGAAAGCAGTCTTCAGGATATTTGGCTCCCGAATCTTCAACTAATGATAACCTGAACGCAAGTCAATCTTGGAAAACACTATGGCAACCTGTAACTGATCAAGTAGGTTATAAATACGAGGCAAAGGATACTTGTTCTTCACTGTGACTTTGTTCAACTGGCGATAATCATTGCACATACGCATAGAACCATCCTTTTTCTTCACAAACAAGACAGGAGCACCCCAAGGTGACACACTGGGCCGAATGAAGCCCTTATCAAGCAATTCTTGTAAATGTTCCTTCAACTCCTTCAACTCAGGAGGGGTCATACGATAAGGAGGAATAGAGATGGGTTGAGTTCCCGACAACAAATCAATACCAAAGTCTATATCTCTATCGGGCGGCATGCCCAGAGGATCAGCTGGAAACACATCTAGAAAGTCCCTCAATACTGGAACTAACTCAATTGTAGGGGTATCAATGCTGACATCTCTCACATAAGCTAGATACACGTCACACCCCTTCTCAACCATTCGTTGAGCTTTAAGAAAATAAATAACTCTGCTGAAAATGTAATCTAAGGTACCTCTCCACTCTAATCGCGGTAAACCTGGCATAGCCAGCGTCACGGCCTTGGCGTGACAATCAAGAATAGCATATGGGGCGACAACCAGACCATGCCCAAGATAACATCAAAGTCTACCATGCTAAACAATAATAAATTGGCTCTGGTCTCAAAACCACTAAGAGTAATTAGACATGACCAATACATGCGGTGTACAACAAGAGAATCTCCCACAGGAGTAGATACATAAATAGGGGAACTCAAAGAATCCTGAGATACGCTCAAATATAGGGCAAAATAAGATGACACATAGGAATAAGTGGAGCCTGGATCAAATAGAACCGATGCATCTCTATGACAGACCGGAACGATATTTGTAATGACAGAGTCGGAAGCAACTGCCTCTATACGAGCAGGAAGGGCATAGAATCTGGCCTGGCCTCCCCCTCTAGGGCGACCTCTACCTCCCCGACCTCCACCTCGAGCTGCTGAGCAGGTGGAGAAGTAGCTGGTGCTGTAATCATAGCCTGGGAACCTTGTGGAGCACGTTGTGTATGGGAAGTCTGTGGAGGTGCACCCCTCCTAAGTCTAGGCAATCCCTCACCATATGGTGAGTGTCGCAACACTCAAAATAAGCTCTAGGAAGGCGTGGCTGTTGTGGCTGGCTCGGGCCAGGTCTGCTGGACTGACTGTTAAAAGCACCCCGCGCAGGAGGCACACTAGATACTAGAGGTGCATAACAAGGCTCCTGGGGCCTAGGAGGGGCTGGAACACCACTGGCGACTGGAAGAGCTGAATGAATGGGGCGACTCACATATCCCCTATCATGCCGAACTGCAGTTGGGGCACGAGCACCAGAAAAATGGCCAAACTTTTGAGACCTCTTGGCCTCTCTCTCCTCCCTCTCCCAAGCAAGCATGCCCTCCACTCTCCTAGCAATACTCACAACCTGTTGATACGAGATATCCATCTCTAACTCCCGGGCCATGCTAGTCCTGATGCTGGGATGGAGTCCCTCAATAAACCGAAAGACCCTCTCTCGAACTGTCAAATCCAAGGCCAGTGCATGTCTAGCAAAGTCATTGAAACCAACTACATACTATGAGACAGTCATAGCACCCTGGCGCAATTGCTCAAACTCCACGCGCCATGCGTCCCTAAGGCTCTGAGGGACATACTCTCTCAAAAACATGTCCAAGAACTGAGTCCATTTAAGGGAAGGTGCCTCAGCCGGACTGTCCAACTCATAAGTACGCCACCGCTGATAGGATGCTCCTCGAAGCTGAAAGGCAGTGAAAGAAACACCACTCGACTCTACTATGCCCATAGTGCGGAGGATATGGTGGCACTCCTCTTGAAATCCCTGAGCATCCATTGATGCTAGATCACTGAATGTAGGAGGGTCATACTTTTTGTACCTCTCAAGCCTACGCTGATCCTCCTCTGAAACTGCCGCCCTACCCTCGGGCTGATGTGGGGCAACATATGGTACTGGTATAACCTCTGGGAATATGATCAACCTGAACCTGCTGCTCTGGGGTGCGGACGGCGGGAGTCTGTGCTCCTCCCCCGGCATGAGATGTGGCTGCATCGAGGGGAATCAACCCCGCTTGAGCTAGAGTGTTGTACATGCATGAACTATGCAAGGGTCTCCTGAAGAGTTGGAGTAGTAGTAGTAGTAGGTGTATCAAGTGCTTGTGCTCCGACTGGAGCTACTGGTTGCTCCTCTGTAGCAGCTCACTCGGGTGCTCTGGCTGCACCACGTGGGCGTCCTCGACCTCTACCCCGGCCCCGGCCTCGGGCGGCTCTAGCAGGGGCTGCAGGTTCCTGTTCATCTCCTGTAGCACGTGTCCTCACCATCTGTGAGAGAATAAAAGACGGAAGTTTAGAAATTCGAAGTCAATAATCTCGCACGACAAGGAATCAAATGAAGTGGAATTTTCCTAACAGGCTATATCCTCCCGAAAATAAGTACATACGTCTCTGTACCGATCCGATCCGCAAGACTCTAATAAACCGGCTTGTGACTCACGACTCCTATGAACCTAGAGCTCTGATACCAATTTATCACGACCCAATTTCTCCCTCTGTGAGTTGTCGTCACGGTACCTAGTCTCTAGACTAGGTAAGCCTAACACTTTGCGTAAATGAAATAAAAGCATGAACATTAACTACTAACAGCAACAAATATCTAATAGGCAACTGAATGCTACTCGACATATACAATTATCACCTCTAAAATGTACCAAACGATTCCCAAAACCCAGAATACCGCAAGTCACAAGCTACTAAGAAGTCTTAACTGTTCTATACATCACTTCTACAGAAAAGAAGGTAAAACGAACATAGGGGGATAGAGCGGGACTCCGAGGATCTGCGGGCGCGGGCAAATGTACCTTGAAGTCTCTAATAAGCAGCAACGATTGCAACTAGTGATGAGGCTGGTAAAATGAACCTGGATTTGCACACGAAAAACATGTGCAGTAAAGGGCATGAGTTCAGCACAACGGTACCCAGTAAGTGTCAAGCCTAACCTCGGTCGAGTAGTGACGAGATCAGGTCGGGGACCTACTGGTATAAATATAATGAAATAAGACAGAATGAAATATCACAGTCAAAGTAAGTACGGAAATCTAACAGGAATAGAATCAATTGAAGACAACAGCTCAGAACATAGTGATAATAACAGGGGATCTCCTAGGATACCGCCCCGTAGTCCCAAACATAAATGTGCAGCGGGATCTCCCATAATACCGTTCTGTAGTCCCAAAGTAAATATAAAGTGATGGGGATCTCCCGGAATACTGTTTCGTAGTCCCAAAGTAAATATGCAGTATATGGGGATCTCCTGGAATACCGTTCCATAGTCTCAAAGTAAATATGCAGCTCAAACAATAGAATTACAACTACAACACGCAAATCCTACTGTTCAGACTAGGTACAAGTCAATGTGGAAGCAGGAAATTCACTAAGCATGCTGCACAGAGTCCAGATAAGCAATTAAGACACATAGACATGTTGTTCTAAACTAAATAGGATAATTACATATGTTGTTGATACCCAATTTTTCCATCATATATTTTAAATGCATACATACTATTAAAACAATGCATGAGCATCAATTATTTAATTTATCCCTGGTATTTTTATTATATAAATAATTACTAATTACATCATAAATGGTTTTATGATAATTTTATTGCTTAATTTTATCGTTTATATTTATAATTATCTTATGCATAACCCTATCTACATCTGTAGGCTATAATCGCAATAACTTTGCAATAATAGCCCATATGTGCATAGTTACTTTATTTCTATAAGAAAATGACCTTTTATATTCTTATAATATTAAGTAATTATTTTGAATCATTTTTATACATAAATATCATTTTTCATCATTTATTAGCGATTTTTATACATTATTTTATCAAATAAATTGGGTATCTAACATATAGCCCCTTTTAATTTAATTTTTGCGGACCTTAGCCCAATTTCCACCCCAGCCCAATTAAATCAACACATCAACCTATAACCCATAACCCAAAACCCTAATCCAATACCCGCCCCAACCCAGGTT